GGTCTCTGGGTCTGCATCAAGGACTCACCCCTGCTCTTGACTCTGGGTCTGCAGCAGGAACTCACCCCTGCTCTAATCTCTGGGTCTGCAGGAGGAACTCATCTCTGCACTGGTCTCTCTGGGTCTACAACAGAAACTCACCCCTGCTTTGGTCTCTGGGTCTACAGCAGGAACTCACCCCTGCTCTGGTCTGGCTCTGCAATAGGGACTTAACCCTGCTCTAGTCTCTGGGTCTGGCAGGTCCTTGTCCAGCAGTGTTCTTGCCTCTACCTTTCAGAACGCTGTTGCAGTTGCATTGCATGCAATATACAGACTTCTTGGGCAGCAGTGTCGGGGTAAGGAGTACAGGGAAAAGCACTTATCCAGTTTCTCAGGAACAGAACTTTTGAGGATCCTCTGGGATTTGTGTACATGTCTTGGTTTTGTTTCTATTGTGTTTTTCTTTCCTATTTTCCTTTACACCTCTAAAGCTCTTAAAAGCCATACCAAGACAATATCATGGTCACCTAACAGTGCAACTCATTGTGATTGGTAGCTATGTTCTCTAGGAACTGGAATTCAATGGGTTTTTTTAATGTTGTAATATAAGTTATATATTAGCCTTATTTCACCGGTTAGGAAGACAAACCTGCTTACAATTTTATTGTTAAAATTATCACAATACTACAGCAGTAAGCCATTATTTCCCAAAGTACCTGGGATGAAGTTTCTCATAATACTTTCTTCCTTGAGCAAATTGAGGCTCTAAAACCTGAGGTGCACCGCCCAGAACCTCAATTTTCTAAGAACAATCCATACATAAGCTTTTGTCCTGGGATAATTTTAATAGAACGTCTTGTCCTCCTCAAAATACTACATTTCTTCATAAACTGGGTCTCTAAAAATTCTGAAAGGAAAGCAAATGGAAGTAGGAAGGAAGGCCAGCAAGCACATGCACCCTCGTGCTGCCCACCTTCTCACTGGCACGTCATCCCCTCGTGCTGCCCACCTTCTTACTGGCACGTCAGCTCGCATGGTGAGTATTCACCTGTGGAAGCTTCTAGAGTCTCATCCACAACATTCACCTGATTCCCTCAACAGAACCATCTCGCTTCACTCTACAGCTTACGATGTACAAGGATGATTGCACAATGATGACCACATAACCGCAAACATAGTCTAGAATTGCGCAAAGAATACGAAAGCCCCACCAACTGCACACTTAAAGGAAAACACGCGCACAGTGTGCAGTGTGCCATGTCTCCATAATGAGGCTCTAGTATGAACATAGGTTGCTATTATTTCAAAATTGAAATAACTAAACTAATTTAATAAAAATTCCATAAATATCAAGATTTTTTTTTAGTTTTCAGTATACTCAGGTATATAAGCAAAATATACAACAATCTGAATTAAAGAAACAAAATGAAAATAAAAACATCGGGGGATTGTAAGTGATCATGTGATTAAAAGAGAGAAACACTGATTAATTAAAATCACAAACATGCAGAGTCATAGATGTCTGTTTTTATGGTTCCCTTTCTATAAAATTATTATTACCAAGCTAGGCTAATGTCAGCACTTGGAAGACTGAAGCAAGCAGGAATCCTGAGAGAGCGGTAAATAGAGGCCTGGTTTTCATACTGAGTCCTCGGACAGCCAGCGCTACATAATACAGAGACCTTGACTCAAAAAGACCAAAAATATTAATATAATTAATATGCATTAATTCTATAGTCAAAAAATAAATATAATAAAAAGAGAATGATAATTCTGGGAAATAGAATGTGAATAGTTAACATACACATGCAATACAGCACAGCTGGACACGTATCCTGTTATCATTGCCTCCTCTCTAACCTATCTTACATGTATTGATTGTGATTTCTCATGGGAGTCTGGCATTGAGATGATCTAAATTCTCAAATGACTGCTAAAGGCGGCAATCAGGATACCAACACTGTTAATAACGGCACACATCTGTACAGTATTTATGTATGTAAGGTCTTTATACAAACAAAGCCATTGCTTTCTTACAAAGTTGCAGCAAGATTTGATCTCTTATTATTTCTGTCTTTAAAATGAGCAATCTGAGAAAAGAAGTCAAATTCCCCGAATGAGTATAGTATACATAAACATCAATTTGCCTTAATTTGTTACATTGAAAACTAGACACACTCTAGTGACTTTAGAGGTAGATGAAGGTAAAGACACTGTTAGAATACGTATACGCTTAGTGTGCTTTGTTAAATGAAATAATCTTAATGATTGTGAAATTGGTTCACAGTCATCACATCTCTGCAGAAGTCAGGGACTAGCACATGTGGTCCAACGTGACCACTTCTCCTCACAGACCTCTCCAGGGCCTGCTTCCCTTCGGGGACAGGCTGAGCTGATCACCTGTGTCACACTACTTGGCACGGCATTGCCTTACCAGAACCTTCCCTTTTGAACCTTGTGCTTCTCATCTAAACATTGCCTACTACTTCTCTACCTTTACCGAATTTCCATCGCTTATATCAGGAAAGTTAGGAAAACAATTGTGTCTGTGTGTATGATGTGCACACGCACATTCCCCTGTGAGTGTGTGCATTTGCATACATGTGAGATCAACGAACAACCACATATGTATGTCCTCACCCTCGCCATGTGAGATGGGGTCCTGCCTGCTGCTGTATGCCAGGCCAGTTGGCCTGTCCCTGTCCCATCTCCCCTTAGACTCTCTGAACCCAGGTCTTCGTGTTTGTGTGACAGCCTCTGTCACTGAGCCATAACCTCAGCCCCTAGAGCAGAAATTTTCTTCATTTCCTTCTTAGCTCTCAGAATTTAGAGTTTTAAAGTTAGCCTCAAAAGTGTCACTTGGGTGGATTGTACTTCCTGAGGTGTTTTTGTCCCTTACTACCAAAATTAAAATATTCATACTGCTTCATCCTTGCCCCTTGGCAATTGAATCTATTCCAGTTGCTTCAAAAGCATTTCTCTCTGGCAAATATCTGCGAGTATAAAGTCTGCTTCTCTGGTCCAGCACAAGGCTCCAGTGGTTAGTTAAGGTCTCCACACACATCTCCCTCACAAACCGAGTGCTCTGAACACTCACCCTTTACTTTCTGTGAATAAACTCACAGTGCCAAGTCCATCAGGAGTCTGCCAAATGCCCCTGAAAGCTCCATCTTTTCCTCAGTCTTTAGTATAGTCTCCAAGTTCTGGAAGAACGAAGACTGTCTTGCCTCCCAAGCATGTCAAGTGCTTATCCTTCCATCTAGAGAATCCATACCTTGACTCAGCTCACCCAGGAGCTGTTTCCTGGTGCCTTCCTGTTAGATGCCCCATCTGCACCTCTGAAATGAGGAAGTGCTCGTCTTTGCTTGCGATACAGCATTAATTATGCACGGCACATGTCTATTCTAGGCAATAGGCTGAACTGCGTGGCATTGCTATGATTTTACCGTATGTGGTGCCCCAGGCAGTTTGATCTGTGTTCATTTAGTTTCTGAGCCCTACCCAGGTAAAGCACAGACTTCACACAGGCGAACTGAATTGTCTTGTCGTCCAATTCCAATCTGCCCTCCTCCCACCCGCCAGAAGTCCTGAACACTGGAAATTCAAAAGCGTTAAGCAAAATAAGACTCTTAAATCAGTACACAGATTTTCATAACATCAATCCTCTGCAACAATTAGTCTTCCTGCATAAGGAGCAGCTGACTGTTACACGTGCCACCCTACCTGGGAAGGGAGTGGGCTTTAGAATCTAAAAGGCGTCACAATTAACTTTACTTAGATTCAAGAAGCAGTTTTAAAACCATTTATTTGTGAAGGAAACAATCTTAGGTTTAGAAGTTGGCAGATACAGCGAAAAGCTTTTTAGTTGACTGAAATAAAAAAAAAATCAAAACACTTTTCAGAGCAGGCACTTCCCTTATGAAAACAAACTGCAGGAAGCAAAGCACAGCAGTTTCTGCAGGAGGCGAGCCCCACCCACCAATGAGCAGGAGAATGGAGAAGAGATTTGCATCTCTATAGTTCCTTTGTATACCCACATTCCAAAAGCCCTTCACAAAGCAGCAAATATCTTGGCCCACAGAGACTGACTGGCCTGGGTAGTGTGAGGCCTGACAGCGCTGACCCCCACCTGGCTGTGCGCAGGAGCACAATGACACTGCGCAGGCAGAGAGGACTTGCTTGCCCTGCTTCTAACCACTGCAGTAAGTGAGGCTCATATCTGCTGATCTTCCCAAAGCACCACCACTGTTCTCCTACTCTAGTGGATGGATTTGCTCATCAACTCCTAGCCAGTCCCTTAAATGATTATAAAATGCACTGATCCAAACGTAGAAGATGCAAGAATAGAGGGTTTCCATGGGCCAGATACCCAAGAAGCCACATGCCTACCGAATGTGATCCTTGCAGTCTGCTCAGTTCTGTATCAGGGGTGGAGGCCAGGGGTGACTTCACCTACATTTGGCTACATAAAGATGGCCTTTTGCCGTATAATTCTGATGTTGCCCATGGCCTTCTCAGAGTACTCTGCATATGGGGCCCTGGGCCAGCATCCGCTGCCACAATCCAGGCAGCAGCTGTGGCTGGCTGTCCTCCAGGGGTCACAGTTGGGTTATAAATCCCTCACCGGACCACGGGCTGAGAAGCCTGATTGGAAACAATTTATTTGAACCCCTCTTCATTTAGATTCAAATGGAATAAGGAAGGTAAAAATTGAACAGAGCCAGAAATTGTGCCTTGCTGCTCCTGCAGTCAGTAAACATTTATTCACTAAGCCTAGCTCCTCGCTTCTCTTTCCCTCTCTCATCTCGCTCAGCCTCAGTCCTCCAATCCTTCCTGCTTGCTGCTTTAATGCATAATTAAGAAGGTCAGAATTAATGAAGCAGTGTGGAGTAAAGTTCAAGGAATCCCCAGGCACTATTTATTCTATTAGATCTCGGGCATGAATGTCAGATTGGCAGCGCAAGCTGCATGGGCAATGGGCCCTGCTGCATCCCAGGAACCACCCACCCAGGGAGACTCACCTGCACCGTCAGGTCATTCCGAAGCTCCTTCCCAGCAAAAATCACGCGCAGCTGGTCAGCCGGAACCCCCTGTCGCTTAGCAACCACTTCCTTGAGCTGGAAGATGCTGGTGTCAGAATCCACCTCCACTGGGAAGCCATGGCTGGAGTTGAACCTGACGAACACTAAACACAGGCAGAGAGACGAGCATTACTCCAAGCCCTTACTGGCCAGTGAAATGTCTCTGGAAATGCTTGCCCCTTGCCGGCCCTCCAGTGAACGGCATATATTTTCTCTCATTTATAACAGGAAACTTTATACTATAGAGCAGTAGCCTTTGACATCCATCCTCCAACACAGGGGGACTCAAGTGGAACACCTGCCTGATTGGAATCTAGAGATCCCCATGAGTTTATAGAATATTCTGCTCCAACAGACTGAACAAACACTCCCTCCCTCCGAGGGTTCTCTGCATAAAAATCAAAGACAGCATGTTGATGTTCCACAAGGAAATGGAGGAAATGGAAGCCACCTTGTAGACAGGTGAAGAGAGCTGGGGCCATAGGGTTGGGGCTCTGGGCTCTGTGAAGGAGTTCTGGACTCTGTTAAATGGTTGTAGGCACTAGGTAAGGACTCTGGGCCCTGTGTAAAGATTTTGGCTCAGGGGTCTCTGGATTTCTAGAGAGATCTTAAAGTAATTTATCTCTGTTGTTGGAACATTCTCTTCATTAGACTCTGGCTAGAACCCACGACCTTCCCCACACTGTCTTCCTACTTCCCTTGTCAAACTGTCCCAGCATGCCTCACATCCACCTGCCCTTTCCCGCCATCCACCCTCTTCTCACTTCTCCAAGTCAGGCTCTCACTGAGTACTTTCTAGATCCTTATGTTGGGTGTGGAGTGCATGCCTTTCATCTCAACACTCCAAACAGAGGCATTTCTAGGCCAACCTGCTCTAAAAAGGAAGTTCCAGGATAGCCGAAGCTACATAGAGAGTCTCTGTCTGAAAGGGAAAAATAAAATAAACAAAAATACTTTCTAGATTCTTGCATATAGTATAGTTTTTGTGTTTAATTCAAAACTTTAGTAAAACTATCATACACAATTTAAATAATGGTGTGAGACAGAGATAGGAAATTTCCAGTCAACTTTAGAGACAGGAACCTTAATTCTTTTCCTTGCCATAGGTCTGTCCTGGATGAAGGCCAGAAGTCACACATATTTGGGGACTCTGGTTCCTAGACTGAGTTCTTGTTATCTTTCTTCTCCTTTTATACAGTCACCTGAAGACATATGTGAGAATGTGACCTAAGCTCCAGCCCAGACACCTGGACAGAAAGGCAGCCTTTCAATGGCTGGCCAAACTGGCCAAGCTGGCCAAGCCCTACCCCTGTCTCAACCCAGAAACACCATATTGTCTCTTACTGGGGAATCCCTGTTGGCAACACATTTTTGGGGACCATCTCCAGTGCTCCAGTACTCCCCCCGACTTGTGTAGCAGGACAAAACAGTGCAGAGGTTCCTCTATCTTGTACTCTTACTGAGACCATTTCAGGGTTAACTAAGAATTTGACCTCCTTGATGGGGAATTCCACGGAAAACTTCCCAACTCTATTCTAGAAACCTGAGGTCGAGATGCCATACCTTGTAACATTGTGTCCTCCATTTCTCTCCTGTGAACCTAGCCTAAACTCCTGTCAAGCACTCCCCTCCCCATGTCCTGAGTCACTCTCAGGTACTCACAACAAAGCACCTGGAGCCCGCCCAGGCCTAGGGTGGCTTTGCTGTTGTTTACTGTTGGAAGCTACAGTCATGCGGAGCAAGAAAGCCTCTATACTCTCAGGGACCTGGCTTCTCAAGGATCGATATCATCATTATTATTTTAACAAGGTGTGCTTTAGTAGAGTACCCTCTCCCTCACTCCCCAGTTCTCCTTTCTGTTTTCTCTCTCGTTGTGTGTATGTGTGTGATTTCATTCTGCATCACTGAAAATACAGGTGAAGAAATAAAAATATATTGATTCCTGTCATGTATGCATAACATCTCAAGTCAAGACTCAAAGTCAAAAACCCATTGGTTAAGTTACAGGGCAGGGGGCTACAAGGGACAAAGACATGGTCAAGTTCTAAGCATCACTGTTTTTTTCTACTGCTATGAGTAGGATTTTTATAAAGACAATACCATGGGGGTGATGCAGAAGGAAGCTGCTGGGGAATATCTGTAGAAATATATTAAAATCCCCACGAGACTCTATGCTGATGTGTTTCCCAAAGATTCAAACAAAGAAAGTCCTATTGCAAATGCAGAACTATGAAGAAAAGAAGGGAGAGAGGTGAAATAATAAAGGCAGAAGTGAAACAACAAAATGTATATAACTCTTCAAATCATGTTTTATTAAATGTTCATTGTCCTATAGTCTTAAGTTCACTTTGCATAAATTATTAAAAGTATATACAAATAGATAATTTTGAATAGTAAGTTTATGATACAAATTGATTTTACAATAAAAATATCACCTAAACCTATTGTAAGAATTCAGTCAACTGAAGTGCTTGTGTGGCTAAAGAGGAACATCTAGAAAGTAGACAGGTCAATGACTAAGTGGAAATGTACCACATCCCACCTGTATAGCCCCTCCAGTCCAGCAGGGAGCCCCACTGGTCCCCCTCAGAGAAAGGAACCAGTCAAACAGTGATCCGACTTCCAGCTACTTCCTAGCTTTATAATTTAGAACAAGCTGTCTGGCATCTCTGCTCCTGGCTGCCTGTTTTGCTAAGGGTCTGCCACTGGGATTATGTACAACCTCCAGGGCCCATTCCAGATTTACTGCGACTGCACCTCAGAAACAGCCCGTGGGACAGATGAGCACTTGCTCCAAAAGCAGTTCCTCACTTGAGCTGTCCAGGGGAGCTGGGGCTGATTTTAAAGCCACACTCGCCATCTGTGCTGAACCAGGGCAGAGTGCATGGTGTTCAGCTAAATACCGAGCAAAGCGGACAGATTTCCTTGGGTCACCTCAGTGGACCCAAATCTTCTAAGAAAAGATAAAAAGGAAATTTGACTAGTCATCATTTTCTGAGATTTGATTATATACTAAAAGCCTGCAGATTGTTTTCTTTTCTTTAGAGAACTGTGTGCGGTGTCAGAGACAAGTGTTATATCTTCTTCAACCAACAGCATCAGTGGGGTGAATCATCACTGACATAAATTCACGATCACGTTCTCTGAGACAAGGTCTCTGGGTATCTGGTCCAGGATGGTCTCATGCTTGCCATTCTCCATCTTGAGGCTGGAAGATACTTTTTTTTTTTTTTTTTTTTTTTTAAATCCCCTGCCACCTTTCACTAGCCTGCAGAAAACCTGGAGGATCAGGAAAGAAATGGGAGTGGAGGGGAGGACCGTCGGGAGGCGGGCCCACATAGTCCAAGGCTGCTTCAGTCACTGGTGCAGCCAGAGGAGGCACAGGGTTCTGAGTGGTTGTGCTCTTCCTTGACTCTGTCTGCCTCCCAAGCAGGATTCTACCCCTGCACTGACTCAGCCGTCCTAGGAAGGGATTCTAACTAATCTGTGTAATTTCAGTCTTCTTGTCATTGTTTATAGGATTGGTTCAGGAACGGGTACAAATCAATTAGCACCTGTCTTCCATTTCCCTAGATACTGGCGATGTAAGACTAATCGACAGGAAATGCAGGCTGTCAAAATTTGGTGAGGAACTTTTGAGGGTATTAAGAATCACTTGAGACCTGAGCATTTTAGCCAGGGGAATCAAACAAGCCCCAAACATCAGCATATAAATAGGCTCAATGCATCCACCAGGACAAGAGGTGGCTTTCAGAGAGAGAATGCCTCTGAAGGACTTTGACTCTAACTACACCCAGTAAAAACCAAGAGCAAGTTCTGCTCCAGCAGTTCAAGACTGCCCTGGCATGTAATTCCAGCTGCCCCCAGGTGAGGCTTTCCTTCCCTCCTTCAAGAACTATATCTAAGCCCAGTAACTCCTGTTTTCAACCAGAAAATGACCAAACAAGCAAACAAAAGCACATGTCCACATTCCCCTTGCTACCCTATTTTTCTGAATGGGGAAATTTATTGAGAATTACTTCCATTTGAATATATATAAACATATATATATTCAAATCCATTGTGGAAGACTGTGGCAAAGCAATGGCCTTAGTATTTTAAATCCATCGTCACTTTCTTTGAGTCATATACACCCTGAAGAAACATCCCATTTAATCTGTTGTAATATTTACAATACTTTACTTTCCTTTGGCATCTGCTATGTCTTCCTGGTATTTCCCTGTAGCAGAGGGCAGACTTTTGTAATTTCATTTTCTAATTTCTCTTCCTTTCTTGTACTTGCCGATTTTTGGAAAACTCATGAAGTCGGGGCACATCTTGTTTACTATTTGTGCACTGTCCAGTGGCTTCATCAAATACAGGACTGTAACAAAAGACCCCCACGTCTTTTTTTCAGACTTGCCATCTCCCTGGAACTCAAGAAATATCATATTCTATATCAAAGATGTTTGGTCAACACCCAAGATGCAGTAAAATAAATGCTGTCCTCTGTTTTGAATATGGCTCCAGCACTTCCACTATTGCCATTATCTTTGATTGGCTGCTGCATTTTGTTAATTGCATCTATACCGTATCTTTCACTTATAAATTCTCGTATTCTTCATTAATGTTGACACGTTCCAAGCTGCCATTCCCTTCCAGAAGGCTGCAAAGTCGCCTCATTCACGTCTGTGCATCCATGTTTTCCTCTCTGATTCAGTTCCCACTGGCCAGACAGAAAATGTTCTTTATGGACCACAAATCAAAACAAACGACTTCCCCCTGCCGACTCTCCCTTGGTTATCCTCCACCCTCAGAGGAACAGATTCCTTCCTTGTTCTGGCCACAAAGTCCTCATGGTCAACCTCTGGCAACCTCTCTAATCTCCCAGTAAACCATTCCCGGGATTGGCCACCAAGCTCTAGCCATAAGAAATAAATAATTATAAAGGAAACTGTACATATATATTTACATGTATATGCTTTAGCCATGCCTATTTATATACACTATTTTAAAAACTTCGGTCAGTGAATTACCAAATTTATTACTCTATTTGTGACAGGCCAAGAGAGTGCAGAAGTTCCTTCATTTTGTATTCTTCCTGAGGCCATTTCAGGTTTAACTGGAATTTGATCTCCTTGATGGAGAATCCATGGAAAATTAGCAAACTCTATTTTAGGAACTCAAGGTGCCCCAGCCAGGATGCAGTTTTTGTCTTCAAAAACCCCGTGCTCTGGACACTCGCTCAGGAGTATACTTGCATCCTGGATACCTGAGTGTGGTCTCAGCCAGCAGGAATAAAAACTTTCAGTTGGCTACAGACTGTGTCTGCGGGGTCATCTCTGGCCATCTACAACACCACAGCTTTTAGTCAGAAGCCAGGAACAATCTGTGCCATGCTGGGCAGCAGATACAAGGCAGCAAAGCCACAGTGCTGGGCTAACAGAAGCAAGAGGCTGAGCCTAGAAGAGTGTGCTTTTCTCCTGAGGAAAAGGAAAATCCCAGAAAGAAAAAAAAGTGGAATACACAAATTCTGCCCACCCAACTTGTGGCTAGCCCTCAAGTGTTAAGGTAAAGGAGAGCCTTGAAACAATTCAGTCGGGAGAACTGACCCAAGGGGCAGAGTGCAAGCCATGGCCTTGAACACACACACAGTGAGCTCCTGTGTGCACAGAGAACCAGAGGTCCTCCTCAGTGGGGGAGTCTGATAAACACTCCTTGGCCAGGAGAGGGGGGCAGC